CTCCGTGCCACGGCTGCCTGCTGGAGGGGCCGGCCAGCACGCGCCGGGTGGCAGACCGCGGCACCGCCAGCGCCCGCCCGAGCTCCCGGGGGAGTCTCTACTGCAGCGTGTCTTTCACGGGAGATGGACACTTCAAATAAAGCACGATTACTTATTGCTCAGTAGTTTGGGTATTAAATTGTCTCGTTTATCAGTACCTCATAGCCTTCACATGTGCACTCTTCAAACAGTGTCAATCACATACACATTCTTTCTCCTAAACAATAAATTATTCTCAAAAAAGAAAAAGGAAAAGATACATAATTTTAAAGCAAAGGAAAACAAAAAGCATATTTTTGACACCTATCTTAAACATGAAAACAACTATGTTAGATGTTTAAATATAAATAATAAAGGACATTACGTTATTTACAATGTTACACAACAAGCTGAGAGGAGAGACTGACATGAACTTCAGATAGCAAATGATTTCAGAAACATCCGAGCAATGTCCTACGTATTTACATAGAGCACGTGACAGAGCGCGATGCCCGGCCAGCCCGCCTGCCCTCCTCGGAGTGTACCATGGTCTTCGCAGACACCTCTGGCTGGCAGAAGGTAGCCAGCACTGCAGGGAAGACCAGGCCTTCTGTTCCCACCAGCGCGGGCCGTGCGCCCCCCACCCTCAGCCAGACAAGGGGCCGTGTCTGCAGAAGGTACCCTGGACAGACTCCGCCCGGAGCGAGACAGTCGCACTGAAACGGAAACGAGGTGGCAGGTGCGGTTTGGGACAGTCCCTTCCGGAGTCCCATTCTGTAGAAATCAAGAGGCTGTCTAGGCACTAGTGGGAAAAGGAAAAAGTCTTTCTGGGCAAGCGGGAAAAGAGGAATCAAACCAGAGTGTGGAGGGAGAGTCCTGCCTTTACTAAGCTCACTGCACACCCCTCAGGGCCATGACGACAGCCCCAGAAACAGAGGGGGCCTCCAGACTTCCGGGCCGTCTCACTACCTTAGACCCAGGACAGCGCTCCGTGTGCTGGAACCCACAAGGGGGGCGTCGGACCCCACCGCACGGCCTGAACTTATCGACCGGGTGAGGGAGAGCGACATGGCGATGCAGCATCGCAGAGAGGGCCCTGCGGACAGACTGCGGACTGCAGCAGGCAGCTCCGAGCAGCTGGCCTTTCTCATCAAGGGTCACTCCCACCTCTGTGGGTGACAGGCTGTCCCACCTGACATGCTGCCTCGGTGTGTGAGCAGAATCGAGCTGGAAGCATGATTTCTTCTTGTCCTAAATTTTCATATCTATGTCTGCAACTTGAAAATGTACGGCCATTCTCCTGCTAAGGTCAAACTGGCTCGCGGTTGTAACAGAAGAGTCGGTTCACTCTTGAACATTTACACAACAGGACATCTGACTACCCCAAAGCCCAAAGAAGCAGAAACAGAATCTCTGGGGTTTCGTTGCCAGAGGACGCCTTCCTTAGCCTAGCGAGATGAGTCAAGGCCTCACAACCTCAGCGAGAGGCTGCCTGGCTGCCCCCTGCCTTCCTGCACGTGCGTGCAGTCGCTGCAGGGTCGGAACCAGTGCGGCCGACAGTGGAGGCTGAGAAGCTGATGACGACAGAGCAGAGCAAGGGCCCGTAGACAGTGGCGGAGACGTGGACACAGACACTAAGGGCAGCCTCAAGGCCCTGCAGACGGGGTCTCTGCGAGGAAGACACAGGGGCCCGAGGACGCCCTCCATGTGGAGCCCACGCTCTCCGTCCAAGCCCTGTTCCACGTCACTGTCCCTTTAATTAACATAACTTGGGTGACAAAGGAGCACAGGTCCACCTGCAAACAAGAATCTGTGCCTCTCGCTGCCTCCACCTCCTGCTAAGCTGCCCCCTTTTTGTCCCAGGACTCCTAGGAGACCTCTCAGAGCCCGAATAAAGCTGCAGCCCTGAAATGAGACATTGCGCAGGACCCGAGATGGGCTACAAATGTGAAATTCTCTTATTTTCCTAAGTTAGCAGCTATTTCCAATGTCTACCCCTGTAAACCTTCCTTTGATTCCTAATGCTGAGAGAGCATGCGCAGTTCGGGCCGACCTGCCCCCTTGGTGACGGAGTGAAAGGAAGCGGGAGGTGTCGCGGTGCGGTGGGCACAGGCGGGAGCCACGCCTGCAGGGACGGACAACTGCTGTCTTCTCAGCACTGCCCAGACGCCCGGACCTCACCCCGCGGGGCCCTTCTGGCCACAGAGCGCCTGCACACTGGCCACTCCTGACTGAGCTGTCCCTGCAGGGTGAGGGCGTTGAGGCAACACTGAGAAACAAGGGGAGATGACGGGAGAGAGGTCACGCGGCTGCCTCTTCCCCGGGCCCTCTGCGCCCCCTGGCCAGCCACCACCAGGCTCAGTAGGAACGTGCCACTCTGGGCCACAGTCTGCCTCTTCTTGAGCTGCGAAGACACAGCCAGCTCTAGCTCCCAACCCGGCGGAGAGCACCAGGCAGAAAGGACTGCACCCTGTCGCCGTGGGTGAGGCCTTTCCCTGGGTGAGCTGCGGGATCATCCCCCGAGACAGCGAGAGCGAGTCCTTGGGGCAGTTGTGGTGCTTACCCCGCAAGCAGGCCCAAACCCCACTTTCCAGCTATCCTGAAAACTGTTGCTTTTTGTCGCTTTCTTCCTACAAGTGACATCACGGGCCGCAGCTTCCCGTGTGTTTAACAGCAGCGTGCTGCGGACCTACTATGGTCTCAGAGCCCGGGGAGCTGGCCTCCGGCTGGCAGAGCACACACATGCGCTTCGCATCCCGAAAGCAAAAGGAACCTCATACAAAAGAGAAGAGCATTCGGACGGATGTGCATCACAGGAGTGCGGGTGGGGCACGACTACGGGCAGACAGAGGGGCAGCTGCGGGCCTCGTGGGTGCAGGTCACATCCAGTGGGCACCGTGCGCAGTGCACATGAAGCCAGTGGACGCTGCACAGCAGGGCAGCTAGAGTGCTGCGGGAAGCCCCCGGCGACGGCCAGTTCGCTCTTGGCGTAACGTCACAGAAAGGCACCATTGATTCTTCCTCGTTTTGAAATACTGTAAAAAATTGCTACATATGGCACGTAACACATTTTTACATACATATATTTAATTTATAAAAGTTTTTTTTCCTGTTTTCTATTTGCAGAACTGCTAAAATAAAATAAATTGTTTAATTTAAGATTGCATATTTTATTATATAAAATAAAGTTTTACATTTTTAGGTGGCATATTTTATTATATAAAATAAAGTTTTACAGGTGAATCTATGTGTTTAGGTTTTATACAGCAATAGGGTCTTGGTTAGCTATTACACTAGACAGCCTGGCCTGCAACTCCTCTTGCGTGGAGAAGCGGCCTGCTGGGCTAGTCCTGTCGGCCAGGCGGAAGGCTGGCGCCGCCTCCAGGCTGGCTGCCAGGGGGTTCTGAATGCCCAGGAACGGCGTATCCTCGCCTACGCGCTCGTCTTCCGTCTCGCTCTCTGAGTTACTGCCCTCGGAGCTGCTGTTGCCTTCCACTTCCGATCTGCTGGCCGCATGGCCGTTGGGCTTGGTTCTTTTGGCCCGGCGGCCCAGGGCAAGCGTCTGGGCAGGCCCCCGTGCTGGCTCGTACTCCTGCGTGGTCTCGTACTCCTCGTCCTCCACGACCCTCAGGGGGCTGGGGGGCGGGCTGCTGCTCTCCTGGGCAGGGTTGAGGTGGAAGGCGCCGAGCGGTGAGGGCGGCTGGTCCGGCTTCTTGTCCCGTGGCCTGGGCGGCGTCACCAGCAGCAGTGGCCTCTCCTCCTCCACGCAGGGGCTGACTGGCACGGAGGGCATGGACACTGTCACGCTGGATTCCGGTGGGGACAGTTCCGAAGGGGGCGACTTGGGGGAGCTCGGCGTGTGGAACTCTATGGGTGACATGCGGGCCGGGGTGGTCATGGCCGACACATACCTGCGAGAGCACAGAACACCCGCGTGAGTGCGCTCGAGGCAGCAGAGGCGCAGGGCTGGGCAGGGGATACGCACCCGTCTGCCTGCACGCGCGTCTGCCTCGCAGGCTCGGCTGGGCGACTCAGCGCCCGGGATCTGCAGCCATGCAGCATGGGGCCCCTCTCTGACCGCATGCAGACACCCACTGGATATACCACCTGGTGGCCTTGAGCCAGTGAAAGGGCAGGGCAGCATCAGTGCATGGGGACGTGAGGTAGGCCCGACCCCGGGACTGAGCTCAGACAACTGGCCAGTGGAATTAGGAGGGGTCTTTAGCAAGCCTCGGTGCCAATCTGCTAATGGTGCACCTGAAGAAGCCGAGGCCCCCAGTGAGCCTGGGCCCGCACGCAGCAGGAGCTGGGAATGCCACATCAGCTGTGCCTTGCATAGCAAGTCACTCTGGCTCTTTGAGGGTCTGCGGCTGCCTGCCACTGGGAGGATGAGGGGATCGGGGAGATGCGTTCAGCCAGACCGCGGAGTGCCTCGTCACCAGGTCATCCTGGGCCCCGGCTGGGCTGCAGGCGCTCCAGGGCCCCCTGAGCCCTCCACGCGGTGGCTCTGTCCCGGGCCTTACCTCTCACTGTGAGGAGAATCCCGGTAGGAGTCGGGGGTCTCTCTGGCGTGCCTGAGGAAGCTGGGACACTCCCGAGGGCCTCCCAGCCCATTGAGTCGTCCCCGCGGGCCCCCTGCAGGGCTGCTGGGCCTACTGTTCTCCACCGACGACATCAGGATGACAGAGTGGCTTTCTGTGTGCCCATTGCTCCAGCTACGGGAGAAATGCAGGAGACGTTGTAACCAAGTGACACGGAGACGCAGGAAGCGACTCCCACACCCCAGGTGACCCGGCCGCTGCTCTTCCTGCCACTTGTCCTACAGCGATGGGCAAGGACGCCACAGAGAGGCTCGGGCTCAGGCCGGCCTGGCCAGGACACAGCTGACAGAGCTAGCAGGCGCCATGCCGACCCAGTGCTGCCCTGGCCTCCCTGCTGAGCGCGTCCTTGATGTATCACATGAGCTCCGTGGGGTGTCTGGCGTGCTTTCATTTTAGCGTGTGCTCAGACAGGGAGCCCAGGACACTGGAGGACGTGGGGTCCTGCTGAGGGACCAGTTCCCTCGTGCAGCCTCCAAGGTGGTCCAGGAAAGGAGGAGCTCAAGTCCCAGGGCTACTTAGACTCGGAGACAGACGTCCCCGTGTGGCCGCTCAGGGAGCCGCAGGCCTACACAGGGCCAGTGTCCAGGTGGGGAGCGAGGGTCCTCTGTGGCGGGCACTGGGCTCTCCTGTAGCCAAGGACCCCATGCACGGATTTACTCGGTGGTCAAGGACAGAGCTGGACGATGTCCATGTGCCAAGACCACCGTCCCACTGCCCCAGGGGCTGCTCTTCCTGCCCTCAGCAGTGACCAGAAACGCCAAGTGCCACCCCGTCCTTGGGCAGTGCCCTCCTCTGGTCGCATACCTGTGACTAGGGGTCTGGGTGACGGTGGTGGAATGGTGGGTTGTTGACGTATAGTGACTCGTGGAGAAAGATGTCTCTGCCTCCCTCTCCACGGTGGGCTCACCAGAGATGACATTCTTGGACACGTATTGCTGGGGACAGAGGGGCGATTGGGAGATGCACGTCAGTCAAGACGCCAGCTCTGCCCAGGCGCATGCAGACGGCACGGCTGCTCCTGGCTGCCCGCTGCTCCTGGCTGCCCTGCTGCTCCTGGCTGCCCGCTGCTCCTGGCTGCCCGCTGCTCCTGGCTGCCCGCTGCTCCTGGCTGCCCGCTTGCTCCTGGCTGCCCGCTGCTTTGTTTTTGTGAGAGGAGGGCAGTTCATGAATTCCTTCCAGGGTGTGTGCCACCGCAGTGTCTAGCACAGCTACCTGGGCCCCCTCTTCTTTCCACTCCACACTAGCAGCTTTCTCACATCCGCACTGCCACCTCAAGCTGGTACGACTCAGAGGACTGATGGGTGTTTGAGTGAGACAAACCCAGGGACGTGCTCTGTCTCAGTTCAGACGTCAGGTGACTGGGAGAAACGGAAACCCCGACGTTGGGGTCTACCTTTCTCCCCACGTCCTGCGCCCCCTGCCGCCCCGCCCCACGCTATGGCTGGCATTTCTAACTTGGAACCATCGGTGGGACTAACGGGCGTTGAGAACGTCGAGGAACGGCCAGCGGTCAAGGTCGCAGCTCCTGCAAGCCTGGACAGCGGCCTCTTCACTGCAGGTCACGGTGCCAGGACTTGCTGCGTTCTGTCAGCCAGAGGGGCCCATTTCAAGGTTGTTTTAAATACCAAATGTAGTTAAATAATGGGAAAAGGTATGGAAAGGAATGCTCTTTAGTCAAACAGAGCACTCTGTAGTCTGATGGGCCGTGAGCTCTGAAGAAACTCCTATCTTCACAGAAACTCAAAAATGCTCAAAACTCTAGCTGGGTCTCTCCTCGCAGGTCTTCCCGGGAAGAACAGCTAACTAGCTTTAAGGAAAAGATTCCGGGCCTAGCAGGTGGTATAGCGTGGTTAAGGCTCTGGACTCCCCCAAGGCTGACTGCAGTTCGAGTCCCAGACCCGATGGCTTGAGAATCATGCCATACGTGAGTGCCTGTGTGTGCCCAAAATCCCAGGAGGAGAACAGAGGAGCAGGGGCTGCGCTATGGCGTGGTTTCTCACTTTCTCTCTCACTCTCTCTCTCTGTTCTTGGTGAGTGAATATGCCCTATAGCAAAAACCCTAAGATAAAAAAATTTTAAAAAAAGATTCCTGGTGACCAGCCGTGGTCTGTGCACTGTCCACCAGGGCTTCATCGTGGGCATGACGGCTCCGGGAAACTGACGGAGCTGATACCCGAGTGGACACTGCGCTCCTGGGCTCAGTGTTTTAGGTGGATTATTCTAGCTCACAAGGAGACTCTGCCGTAGGGGTTATTTTTAGATCTGTTTTCATAATGAAGAAACAAGGTTGAGAAAGGTGGAAGCCCGAAGTCACACGATCTGAGCCCCCACTGGCCCCCAGGCAGTCGTTCTCCTGGCCTGTGGGACAGTGACAGGCCAGCTATGCTTGCGGTGAACGCACGCAGCCAGGAGGCATCCCCAACCCTGTCCTGAGGCCATGCTGGGCTCGGGCCTGGGCTATCCGGCCCCACTCAGCACACGCTCTCTCTGCAGGACAGCAAATGCTGACTGTAATTCCACGCTTTGTCTGTAAAACTGCACATCGGAGGGAAATGAGAGGCGAGACAGGACGGCTACGCAGGGATAAAAAGAGCAATGCTTCCAGGGGCCTCGTGGTGCAGGGTGCGCCGGCTACGAGGCTGGGCCCCGTGGGAAAGCCCTGCGTGTGCTGGTACATGCGTGTGGACTGCGATCCAGCTGGCTGAGGCTGAGGAGCTCTGCTGGGGGAACCCATCTCTATCTCTCTTTCTCGTTAGTGGGCGAGATAATCACATAACCCTAAGGAACGAGGAGTCACACTCGCAGTCAGGAGATCCGGGCCCAGCTCCAGCCTCTCGTGTGCGGGGGTTTGGAAGGTAACGAAGAACCACGCACCTGCCCTGGTGATCTGTGGCCCGGATTTGGAAGCAGAGCTGCTGAGGTATACCTAAGCGAGCTCTCTGGGGGCCTAAGGGTGCATTTCACTTGGAGGCACGACATCACTTAGACGAGCCAGGAAAGTAGCACCGTGTCGCCCAGCTCTGGTGCTGAGAAGCATGTTTGTTAGGTCATGGAACCTTTCTGGGCCCGCTTCTTCCTTGGGAAACCTGGTCATCACGCACCGTGAGGGGCCCCGATGGAATACGACTGAAGGCCTGGCTCGACTGTCTGGTCTAATCAGCTGCAGACCTGCGTAGTCTTCAGTCCCAAGTTACAGATACAGAACACATTTTTCCTGATCCTTACTACTGACTTCATCATTGTTTTGTTCTCCTCCTGGTTGGCCTCCCTAGAGAACAACCCAGAGCGTCAGCTGACCCTGACTGAACACGAGTACGAGGAAGCGCTGGTTCCACGGTGGCCAACTCCACTCTAAAACATCCCCATTATGTGCTCCTGGAAAACCCGGGATTAATGGCAGCAGCTCTGAGTCTAAGCGTTAGAATAAACGGCAGGGCGCCGACGGAGGGAAAGCGCTGTTTTGCCACCGGCCAAAATCAACCTACATTCACCAGCTGCACGTTCTCGGGGGGCGGGTGAGGACGGTGCGGCCCGTTGGCGATGTTCACCATGTGGTTTCGCTCCGACCGCAGGCTCTGCCGAAGCCGGTCATGCAGCTTTTTCCGCTGTTTCCTGCGTGGGAGACAGTGAGCGTTCATTTCCCTGCGAGGCACCTTCCTGGCCATGCCACATCCCTGCTCTGCCAGCGCCTCACAGCGGAGGCGTGCCCACTGCATCTCGGAACAGGTGGGCTCGCGCATGGCCTGGGGGCAGTCCTAAGGCCCTACCTGTCCCTACCGAGCTGAGCTGTACCTCGGAGGGGCGAGAAAGGGGCGGGCCAGCGAGGAGCTGTTTCCCTAACCTTCTCATCGGTGTGTCTTCACCAGCACCCGTCAGGCGGCGTTGTGAGGTGACAATCTGTGCCGTAGAACTCAAGGCTGAGTCCATTCATAACCCCCCATGTGTCCCTTAAGTAAACAAATTTAGGGACCAGCAGATGGCATAATGGTTATGTCGCTAGACTCCCATATAGTTGACTGTGGTTTGCTGTGGTTTGAGTCCCAGGCCCAGCAGATTCCAACTCACACCGGGCAGGTATGTGTGTGCCCAAGAACCCAAGAGGAGAATGGAGTAAAAGGGATCACAGTGTGGTCACCCCCTGGGGATTTCTCACTTTCTGTCTCTCTGTCTCTGTATCTCCAGCAAGGGCACACGCCCTATAGCAAAACAATCTCAAAAAAACAAAAAACAAAAAACCACGAACTTAGTTTTGAGCCTGCACATTGCACAGTTACTGGACGCCCGGTCTCACAGAGGTGAGTAAGATGGACTGCTAGGCTGTCGGGTTCCGCCATGACCGCGACATGGTCCTACGCTCACAATGCTGTTGGTGTGACTTGGTCACAGACACTGAGGCTGGACCTGGCAAGGCTGAGTGCTAGCTCTTCCTCCACGCTGGAGACACGTCACGGGACACTGAGAAAGCACGGTCCCTGCCGCGATTCAGGGCATAAAAAGCACGTTGTTCTGTTCTTCAGTACAACGTCAAGATCATGGTCACCTTCCCAAGGAAGAGTTATGGAGAAGAAGCCCCTCACTGGGGAACCAGCACTTAGCGTCATGGCTATGTGGCTGGACTCCCATGTAGTCGACCGCAGTTCGCGTCCCGGACCTGGTGGCTTGTAAAACTCACTCCGGGTGCGTGTGCGTGCGTGCCCAAGATCCCGAGAGGATAATGGAGGAGAAGGGATTGCAGCGTGACCATCCCCGCTGGGGGGTGATTTCTCGCTGTCTCTCTGTCTCTCTCTGTCTGTCTGGCGAACGCACACGCCCTATAGTGAAAATCTCTCCCCAAAAAAAGAAACCCCTCGCTTGACACCAACCCAAAAGGGTTGGAAGTGGGAAGGAAGAGGAAAGCATTGGAGTCAACGAGATGCAGGTCATGGCAGGCACCTGTGTCCATCGGGACAGGCCGCGAGGGCCAGGCGCGAGCCTCTGCCTGAACGCGGGCTTCCTCCCACGTGCTCGCCCCACACTGGGAGAACGTTTGTCCTGGGGACCGAGACACGGCAATCCTGTAACGCTCCAAAACTGCATCTCAAAACCGCCGATGTCTCCTTGTCTCCCAGGCTATGGCAGACTGGACGTGTCTGCAGGTGGGGGCCACCTGTCGCACCACCCCTCCAGTCGCACAGGTGCCTCTGTCTCCCTCCAGCCTGTTCCCTTCTGTGTTCTGTGGGGCGGGGGTCCGGTCAGAAATCATCACATAAACAGGCAAAGCTCCCCAAGGGCTGGGCCTGGAGAGGACCTCAAAGGGGACTACTCAGAGAGAAAGGGGAACGCTCTCCCTGCACCCCCCACACCCCGTCTGCCAGCCCCGGCACCAGGGCGTGCGTGCGTGCATGCGTGCGCGTGCGCGGCGGGCGGGAGGTTACTTGGTCTTGCAGTAGGCCGCCACACACATGATGCCGACCACCAGCAGCGCGATGCAGATGCCGGTGATGGTCAGCACCCTCTTCTGGTACAGCTCCTCTGCCTCTGCAAAGGGACAAGAGCAGGGTCACTAGGTCGCCACGCGGCCAGGATGCACACCCCCAGTCGGCATGCTGCACGGCACTGCCCACGTCCACAAGAAACAGAGGCACAACTGTCCACGACACACACTAAGGCACCACGTACTCGCTCGGTGCGGCAGAGTCGGGCCCGCTGGGGCCGTTTGCCACACAGATACTGTGCGCGAGAGCTGCTTCAGTTTTAATAACTTAAAGCGAGTATGTGATATTAAACTGACAAATCATAAACATTAATTATAAATGAGCTATTTGCTTATATTTCTGCAGGTTTTACTTTAAAATAAATCTCTTGCAAAAATAAAATAAAAATCTCTTGCAAAGACAACAGGAGTCAACAGTGAAGAGCTGGTCCCATCGGGCCCCTCCCCACCCCGCCCCCATTCCCATTTCCCAGCTACTTTATACTGTCACTTTGTATCCAGTGGTCTTTACAAAGAGTTATTTCTAACTTAAACAGTAATCAATTCAAAGACATTAGCAAACATGAACTTGGCTTGTAGTTAGCAAGTAAATGCAGTCCGGATCTCTGATTGAACAGGACGTGAATGTAAGTGACACAATTTAAAGTTAGCAGGGCACTGTATCAAAGAAAACCCACCATGACGGGTGGGAAGCTCTGGGCCAAAATGGAGGCTTGTCCTTTGGAGGACAATTACTGCTTCACCAATAGCCCCGAGAGCGCACATTTATCTGTCTAAAGAAGCGGCCGGCACACAGGTGTGATCTGGGCCAGGTGCGCACTCCATGGCCGGGATGCTCACCAAGGAAGCGTGACTCAGAACTGCGAACTCCAGCCACCGCCACATCCAGCTGCGACCGTCTAATTTATTGAGGTTTTCCTACTTGCCGATCGGCTTCTTTGTGGATAATTTGATTTACTAAGGTCAATCAACTTCTGACAAGATTTGCTGATTTAATGGGGACGCTGGTCTCTGGATTGGAGATGCCACCGGGTCTTATCACACAGGTGGGAAGACAGTCCCGGACAGAATCAGCAGTGCCAGCTGCTCACCTGTGGTGACCACCAAGCTGGCTAAGAACTGGGGACACTGTAAACAGAACGGCCTTATCTGGGCCTCCGCTGGGACACTCAGGAAGTACTTTCCGGCTGCACTCACTGAGAGCACAGCTCGGTGAGTTCTCTGGAAATGAAGAGGCGGGTTTTAATTTCTGTGATACAGTGGGCCTTATCGTTAAACAAGATGTTTCCTACAAGCCGAGCCCATGGCGATCACATTCCAGTAAAAGGTCAAGAACATTGTCAACTTAATAAAAGAGCTCTGGTCATTAACAGGAGGAGGAGGAAGAGGAGAGAAGTCGGGGGAGACTAAAGGCTGCGTAGATTATACGAAAACAAACCAAAAGGGTTGGAAGAGGGAAGGAAAAACAAGCCAAGAAGACAGACAGGACAGGATGGAGAGCGAGGAGTGACACAGGGGAGCGAGGTTAGGGTGGAGGAGCCGCTGCCGTCCCTGGCACAGCACGCCCGACACTGGGAGCAATGAACACACGAACACCAGAGAGTGCTGGGAGCAGAGGAGGGTGCGGGGTGGAAGGGCCACCATACAGCATAACCCTCACTAGGCTGGAGGCTGGGCCGGGTTAGGAAGCGTGGCAGCAGGTGCGCTGCGTGGACCCACGCGCGGGAGACAGCGTGGCTGTCGCGACCGTGTGCCGCACGGTGAGGACGAAGAGTGAGTGCCTGTGTGTTAATTGCTAGTGTATGGGGGCCGCCCCCAGGGCCCAGGTGGGGGCTGTCTGTGAGGCTCTGCTGATGCTGCCATGGCCTGCCTCCCTGACCGTGGCATCCTGACCAGCTGATGGCACGTCTGTCTACCAGGACCCTGTGAGTACCGCGTGAGGACGCGGAGCAGGGTCTCAGCCTCAGAGCTGGCTCAGGCAGGAGCGGGTGCCAGTGCAGGAACTGGGGCCCAGCCCCAGCCTGGCCTGCGCGCTACTCTGAATTCTGTCCAGGTGGCGAGGTTCTGCTACAGCAGGGCACGGGTATCCTGTGTGCTCTCGGGGACTCTCTGGCCGGGGCTGTCCGGGTGGCTGCTGACTGGCTAACGGGGGAGTCGGGTCTGGGAGCAGACAGGGTCTGGAAACGTGCCCGGTGTTTCCCAGCAGACTGGCCGAGGGACAGGTCATTTCACAGACACCGAGGGCCGCGTCATTTCACAGACACCGAGGGCCGCTCCATGACGCTTGTGGGTTGAGGCAGGTGAGGTTCAACTGTGCGTGGACGCCTTCACCAGAACACGAGGTCCGCCTCAGAACCTCCCTTTGAGCTTTTGAGTCCTGCTAGGTCAGGTGACCGCAACGTGAGTGCAGGCCAGCGTAGGCAATGGCTTCTGTAACCCTGCTACGCTGTGTGACAGGCCCGCTGGGGCACGGGCACATGAGACAGGCTGGAAGCAAAGGGGCCGTGGGTGGGGCCGGCGCGCCGGGGGCCCAGCGTGGCTAGTGCCAGTGTGTCCACGGCAAGTTCGTGTTTCAGTCTGACCTGGCCGGGGTGAGACACGGAGCCTTTGTCGCTCCTGTTGTAATTGACATTAACCTGGACCCAGCGGCTTGAGAGTCACGCCGGGCCACATGCGTGCCTGCCCGAAATCCAAAAGGAAAATGGGGGAGAAGGCATAGCGGCACGGCCACCCCGGGGGCGTTTTCTCACCTTCCCGTCTGCGTCTCTCCAGGGCGCACACACCTTATGACAGTGCCCCAGATAAATGGCGGTAACCGACTGGCGAGGGCCGATCTCCCGCAGGACACAAAGCGCAGCTTCGGAGGCGGCAGTTTCGGGCTGGAGCCTCTGCCGTGCGCCTCTGAGGGCTGCACACACCTCCCGTCTCCGCAGCCTGGGGCGGCCTGCCAGGGGAGAGGCTGGCATCTGGACCATGCTCTCCACCACTGGCTGGGGCGGGGACACTACGTTCTGCAGCCAGACCCTGAAGGCAGGAAGTGGAGGCAGAGACGGAGGTCGGGCAGCGGGGCACGGTGCCCCTCCCTGGGGAAGACGAGGGGCCATCTTGATCCCAGGGAAGTCACCACGCCTGGGATCCCTCCGTGCGGCCGGCAGGCGCTCGCCTCTGAGACGTTCTCTGACACGCACAGGCCTGGCCGCCTAGGTCATGGGGGAGCTCTTCAAAGGAAAGGTTTTCTCCTGGAATTTGGGGGAGGGTGGCAGCTGACTTTCTCTGGACTTGCTAGAGCACGCGGCCTCGGTGCCCTCGTGCACACAGCATGCTGGTGCAGTCTGCAGGCCTGTCTTCCACACCAGCAGCAGCCGCGGGGTCCTCCTCCCTGTCACCGGGCCTCGGGCTGGGGATGGCGCCCTGCTGCACCAACTTGGCCGCCTGCACCTCAGAGACGGGCCTGTCTTCCCAACTACCTGGAATGGAGGCTTCGGAAGGAGCACCGAGTCTCGCCTTGGGGAGTCTCTCTCCTCTGTTTTCAGTGTGCTCATCTACGCGACTGCTTTCTGGACAAGCTCGGGGACTCAAAGTTAATCCCACTAGTGCTAGAGTCTTTGCCTGAAACAGCACACGGCTTCCCGTTCTGACTGCTCCCTTGCAGTACCACCAATCGGGTATCTGGAGTATCTCCAGAAAACCGGAGTCACTCGGGGCCACGCCTACACTGCCGCGCTGTCGGGCGGGCTCTGGGGTGCGAGAGGCCGTTTTGTACTGGAGGTCAAATCGGGCGTCTGTTAAGCAGATGCATTTGAACCTCAGCCCCTGG